ATGATCAAGATAATGAGTATGATGGCTATGATTCCGACGTAGATCCAGAATTCAGATTAGAGGATGAATATCAAACTAATATAAGACATAATGAAGAACATTATCAGGAAGGTGATGTAGCTTTGGAAATCAAAGAAGAAATGCTAGAACAGGTAATACACTCTACTCCAGTAAATACAGGTAGGCCAAAGAAGGGACGAAAACGAAAATATCTGGGTTTAACAAGAGAAGAAAATAAGCGTCAGAGAAATTTACAAAATGTTCATTATAACTACAAAGGCAAAACTTGATGAAAAGCTCTCTAATAATAACTCTAATGATGAAAGCTGCACTTGAAACTCATGCGTCACTTAATAAGATCTATATCCGGTTCCTAATATCAGGGCATAGTTTCTTACCAAACGATGCCAATTTTTCAGACATAGAGTCTGCACTCAAACATCAACAAAGGTTATACCTGCCCGAAGATTACATAACTGTAATGAAAAATTGCAGAAATAGAAACAAATTTGATGTCATTAGAATGACTTCTTCTGATTTTTTTGGTACAATAGAAGCAGAAAACACAAATCTGTAACAGAAAAGTTGACATAAACAAACAAAAAGTTAATTGGTTAAAAACAAGGGAGATAATGCTAGATAAATCAAACTATAAATCAAAACCATTTTATATTTTCATGAAAACAAGCTTTGCAGATGAAAAGTATTCTGAAGTTTACATCGGTAAGAAACATGGAAGGCCAGCAGTAACCAATAATTTCAGCCATTTACTTACAAAAATGTGGCCTAACGGGAAGCCTATTTCTCTTCCAAAATTAGAAGACATAAAATCTGTCATGCATTTAATACCAGGTGATGCTCAAGAATATTACAAACGTTTAACTGGGGACTCTGAAATTATTGATGATATTGAGGGATTTAGTGGCCGTCCTGATGAACTTGATGACCTTGAAGATGAAACCATGACACATTAGCCGTTTTGGGAATATATTTTTGTATTTTAGCTTTGCATTACAATTATATTTTTATATACTAGTATTGTTGTATTAAATGTAATAATTTAATAAAACTTTTCTAAAGAGTTAATTTTTTAAAATACAGAAAGGAACCAACCCACTTTTATACATATATGCATAGCTGTACTATTATTTTAACAATAAAATTTTAAAGAAACATAAATTCTAATGTATTAACTCACTTAGGAACTTTCGTCAAATAAATTTAAATGAGCTACAATTTTTTTTGTCGCAGAAACTTTAACTTCAATTTTCTCAGCTTGAGCTATTTGTGGGTTGGTTCCTTTCTGCAGAAAGTCGTCCAATTATTGGATAGCCTAGATTTTGTACTATTTGATTTTCATAATTGGACCCCGTTATGCAACAAGGAACCAACTAACATTTTATCAAAAATCGAGTTATTGATTCCCACCGACTCCAAATAATATTATTTAGGTTTTGCAACAAGGAACCAACTGATTTTGGACATAGGCGACATCTAGGCGACGATAGAACCATATTGCAAATTTGTAAATTCGGTTGTACAGGTTTCTAATTCGAACCAAGTAACTTTGGTTCTTTGTTGCAGAAATCTGTAACCTACGAAAGTTGGTTCCATGTTGCAGATTTACTTTCCCAGCTGTGTATTATCGTTGAGTGCCAGAAAAATAACTTTGAAAATGCTTCAAAGCGAGAGATTTCTTTCGCAACGGGTGCAAAAAATCATGAATAATGTAAGGCTGATACCAACGTCTTCCACTGAAGCTTGTATTTCCAATTTGCAAGAGGTAGGTTTATTAATTTATATTTTTTTTACTTCTAACCTTAAAAGACCTCTAAAATTTTGTCCTATGACTATATTATTAGGTATTTTTATTTAATAGCATGTTATTTGCCAATTTTTAGCATAATCAGTCCTGCTTATTTATAGTTTTTTATTTAATTTTGATTTTTTTCCGAATATGTAAGTTGGTTCCTTATTGCAAAATTCTTTTTCAGGACTGGCAAAATAGCAGCAAAGAAAATCAGGGACCAAGTAACAGCAATAGTGATTCCCATAAACATGATGATATATCGATTATTAACGGTAACAGTTACGACGAAGACTCGGATGATTCCGTCAAGGATAAAGATTTCCAACCTACCTACAGCGACGTCTCATCCGACGAAAGTTTAGGACAACCTTCAGACCATAACTCGAACCCTAATGATGAAGCAGAAACTAATTTAACTGCAGATGTATCTTTCACGGGTCGTCCAAAAAAAGGAAGAAAGAAAAAATATGCTGAACAAGACAGAAAGGAAAGAAAAAGGAAAACGAACAGTAATATGGAGTATTACTCCGCTCGAGGAAAACTTGTTAAGTCAAAAGCATTTATCAAATTTGTGTGCTCATGTGCTGCAAGATGCCATGAAAAATTTTCTGCTGATGATCTCCAACAGTTTTTCGAACATTACTGGAACTTAGCGGATTATAATCTACAAACAACATTTATATCAACATCCGTTAGAGAACATTTTGCTCAGAGAAAAAATTCAAATGCGATAAATCCTGCAACACGACAGTTCTCAAGGAAATATTTCATAAATAAGGTTATAGTTTGTAGAAATATGTATACGAATACTTTGCAAGTGTCAACTAAACGTATAAATACTGCTCTACAAAAAGTAAGAAATTTGTCTACACTTGACAAACGAGGTGTTCGCGGTGGACACAACAAGATTTCAGCAGATGAAAAAAATATTATATTTAATCATATAAATCAATTTCCACGCTATGTATCCCATTACTGTAGAGCACGGAAGATGGATCAAGAATTTTTGCAGGAAGGAACTACTTTACCGATAATGTATGATCTTTACAAACCAAAAAGTGATAAACCTGTAAGTTTTTCATCTTTTAAAAAAGTTTTTTTGAGAGATTTTAACTTGAGGCTAAAAAAGCCAAAAAAGGATACTTGCAATAAATGTGATGCATTTAAAGTGAAGATACAAAGTATTAACGACGATGAAAAACGGGAAATTGTTAGACAACACGAATTACATGTAGAAGAGGCAGAATTAGGAAGAAAACAAATGAATATTGACTTGGCCAAGGCAATAGAAGACGAGCAAACAGAAACTCTGACCTTCGATTTAGAAAAAACGCTTCCTTTACCTCGCATATCTTCAAATATTATATTTTACAAAAGACAGTTATGGGTATATAATTGTGGAATTTATGCAGGTAAACAGAAAAAATCAACATTTAATTTATGGCTAGAAGGACAGGCAGGCCGTGGAGCCCAAGAAGTGGGATCTTGCCTAAGAAAATACATTCTCGCTAACATAAGCGATAAAGTTCAGCATATTATTCTGTGGAGTGACTCTTGCGGTGGACAAAACAGAAACATTAAAATAGTACTTTTGTTAAAATGTCTTTTGGAGGAATCACAGCATTTAAAGACTATTAGGCTGAGGTTCCTTGTTCCAGGTCATACGTTTCTGCCGAATGATAGTGATTTTGGAGATGTCGAATGTGCTCTTAAAAAGCAAAATAATATATTTTCACCTGAAGAATACAGCAATATAATGAGAACTTGTAGACAAAAGCGACCTATTAATGTAAATATGATGGTAAAAGAAGATTTTCTCAGTACCTCAAAATTAGAAAAACAAATCACAAACAGAAAAAAAAGTATTACGAACGAGAAGATAAGTTGGTTACGAACCAAAGAAGTTAAATTATTTAAAGATAAGCCTTATAATATTTTTTTGAAGACGACTTACCTAGACAATGACGATTACCAAGAAATTAATATACGGAAAGTAGCAGGAAGACAAGCTTCAACCGGACCACAGTACAACACGTTTTTAGAACCATTATGGCCTGAGGGAAAACCAGTTGCAGACGCAAAGTTGAGAGACGTACAAAGTTATCTTCATTTAATACCGTCAGCACACCACAGCTTTTATACAAATCTAACGGCAGACAATTCTATAATAGAGGATATAGATGGATTTAATGGAGATATAGATTTCGAACCAGACGTGGATATTTAATATTACATTTAGCAACAAAGAACCAAGTGATTTTTTTCTACCTTAGGAGTTCATATTGTACTTATGTATTTTACTAATATCATTAATACCATTTTATTGTAATAAAAGTGTTTATTTTATTGTCGTCAATCATTTTTTTATGCCTAAATAATTTCATGAAACAATCTAAACATTATTCTAATTTTTCTCAAAACTTTGGTAATGTTGGTTGGTTCCTTGTTGCATAACGGGGTCCAATTATTTTGACGGAATTATCGGAATTAGAGATTAACGGAAATTACATTTAAATTTAGATATAAATCGTGGAATTCTTTTTTACAAAATCGCAATGATACCGCTAAACTATAGGAAAAATTTTAATATTCAAAAAATCGAAATCCCTACTTTATCTACAATAATAAAGAAAGTCTATACCTCATTGCCTAGTGGTGATTTATATTTACAGGAAATAGAAACCGAAAACAAGATAATAAAGATACCCTCTTGCCTAATAAACATAAACAACGGAAAAACCAAGATTGAATTCCAATCAATAAATCTTTCCACACTGATTTAATCAGTATAGATGATAATTTTTTAAATAATTTTGTGGAAAATTTTGAAACAAGTAATTATAATGGAGGAAGTTATGAATATTTCCACAAATAACAATGATTTTAATATAGAAGAAATAAATGATAATATTGAAGAAAATTTCAGAACAAAACATTTAAACAAAGAGGAAAAGAAAGCACTTCTGATATTAGTTAGAGAATATCGAGACATATTTCATCATCCTGATAATAAATCGTCGGGTTACAAGCAAAATACACTAAGTCAGTTTTTGTCATTTTTGACTTAATTACATATTGATATTGCAATTTGTTTACTTTATGTACTAGCAAAATCCATTAAGTATTTTCTCATCCTTGACAACACAAAACAATAAAATTTTACATTCACTAAGTCTTTAACAACAAATTTTTGTTCAGGCAAAATCCATTAAGTGACTTAGTGTATTTTGCTGAAGGCAATTATTTGACATAGTGGATTTTACTGGTTAAATTTGGTTTTAAAACTCCCGTTAAAAACGATTTAGTATTTAGTATAAAATTTTTATACAAGTTTCAGCTTGCAAAATATTTCTTCCTCGCTTTATGTGTGGTTATTGATGAGTCAGTTGTGTCCCAGAACTTGAAACGAAAAGTTCATTATGAAACGTATTGACAAAATATTTGCCAACGTTAAAAAATTGGAGAACGGTGAGTCACATAGTTTATTATTGTTAGTTTAGATTTGATTACAAAAGTTTATTCTAATGTTAGTAAAATAAATTATTTCATTTTAGAAATACTTCAAATATTACCATCAAATAATGATAATGGAAATGAAAATCAAAAAACTTTTGCAACTTTAACACCTGTGGATCCTGGATCACTTGTCAACACTACAAAAGGTAAACTATTTTTTTTAATTTCTCTTAAAACATTTTATTACGTTCATAGTTCATCCTTCAATATACATTCTTACGATTACTCTAAAACAACACTCACTCATTTTGTTTTATAATTAAATTTATTTTTCCTACTACTTATTATGATGTCATAGCTTCAGTTGCAAGTTGCAAAATTTTATTTTAATTATTTTAATACTTTCACCTTTCATTCAGTAATAGAGAGTTATTAAAAATAGTTAAGGACGACACTTTTTTAAAAAGTTTTTAATAAAATTTTATGCCATTATACAAATTGAAGTTTTTTACTTCTATGTAAGTTTTAGTATTGTTGTCAATAAAATTCAATTGTGTTTTAGATATACGTCACAGTTTACCAATTCCTTGCACATCACGAGTAGAAGTGTCGTCCCAATTGGATGAAGAAGTAGCGAATGTGTACGACTCCGATGATTCCATGAAAGATAGAGACTGGATACCGCCTGTTTCGTCAGACAATAAAAATGATTGTTCGGAAAGGGAGGTGAGTCTAAAGAAAGAACAAAATTTGATAGTAGATGAAAACGTTGCAGGTCAAAAAAGAGAAAACCCAATAACAGAAGAGAAACGAGTAAGGTGGAACCAAGCGAAACCAGCGCTTTGGAAAAGAAGCATAGAAAGAAAAAAGAAGATTGAAGGTTTACCTTATAAAAGCAGAACAGGAAAAACGCAGGCACCAAAGCTACCTAAACCTGTTGATTGCTCTCGTTGCAGGTATAAATGCAGTAACAATTTTTCACCGGAGGATCGTACTGAATTATGTCGTACTTACTGGAATTTAGAATTTAACAGGCAAAGAGATTTTATATTAATGAACGTTTTGTCTAAAGAAGTGAAAACACGTAGACCTAGAAAGGGCAATGACAGCAAACAAAGAAATAATGCTAAAAACTACTTTTTAAGTAACAATCATAAGATACAAGTAGGGGAGCCTGGGTACGGTTGTAACAGGGTACGGTTGTAACAACTCGAATATTATCGAAACTGTGTACGGCAGGCGAGGGGCACAAGGGAAGGGATACGCAGACAACGTGGCCCTACACGATTCTCAGTACTGCACCACCTTTCGCGCGGTATTTACACTATTAGTGAGACCTATTGTGTTTTGTCAACCAAAAGTAAGTATTTTTGAGGAATTTCTTTCTGTTATAACTTAAATATTAATATTATCACGTATTTCAAAATATGCTTATATAATCGTCGCAGTTTAGAGATTATAATAAGCTTATTTGTTTTTGTATAGGCTATGCTACTTCGTGCTTGCGACAGTATGATTATCAAAATGGGGGGTGGGGACGGTTGTAACGATTTTCATGGGGACGGTTGTAACAGTAATTTTAATATTACTGTAATTTTATAGGCACTATTTTTGTATTACAGATGCCCAGGCAACGCATAAGAAAGACCTCGAGAGGCGAAAACGACATATTGTTGTACAAGAACGCTTACGATGAAATTAAATCAGGTGCTTCTTTAAGAAGAGCAGCAGATAAGTACGGCGTTAATTATGTTTCTCTTTTGAGATACAAGCGAAAAAGAGATGCGGTAAATGAAGATGCCCAGGAACAGCTGGAAAATATTAAAATGGGATATGTGGCTCATAACAGAGTTTTTAACGAAGACCAGGAACGGCAATTAGCGAAGTATCTCATTCGTTGTGCGGATATATATTTTGGTCTCTCCACAAAAGAGGTAAGAAAGTTGGCCTTTGAACTTACCGTAAAATATAATTTAAACGCTCCTTCCACTTGGCTGGAAAATAAAATGGCTGGAGAAGAATGGTTTCGTTCATTCATGAAGAGAAATTCCGAACTATCTATCCGCGCTGCTCAAGCCACAAGCCTGTCTCGGGCGACAAGTTTCAACAGATATAATGTCAATGTGTTTTATGATAATCTTCAGACTGATAAATTGCGTTAGGCTTTCACGGCCATCGTCTAACTTATTAAACTGTTTATTCGGGCTGTTGGGCCGTTGTCTTCTGTTGAGATTAGTTCTCGACGTTTCGCCAACACTAGGGGTTGGCGGTTTCAAAAAAGCCATTAATACTGCCTGTGATGCCTGGATGCGAAATCATCCAGGAAAAGTCATGACTATTTACGACATACCGGGTATTATAACTATAGCAATGCCACTTGCTCTCACCCAGGTGAATATCCAGGCCGGGTTTCGAAAGACAGGGATCTTCCCATTTAACCGCGATTTGTTTCAAGAAATTGATTTTGCGCCATCGTTCGCGACAGACAGGCCTAATCCAAATGCTACTGAAGAGATGGGCATTTCTAATCAACATAGCATTAGACTTGCACCTGATGACGAATTACTATCACCTTCGTTATTGAATGAGGATCCACCTTCATTCAGCGCAGTAAGCCCAACTGAGCCCGAAAATAGAGCTTCAGCTAAAGAGGCTGCATCGCAGTCATTTACTAACAGTGATCCTAAAAAGGAAACATTCATTGACCATCAAATGCTCACACCAATTGAAATAGCCGAGCTCGAAGCAACAAAAACACCGCCTAGACAAACATCTCTAGAACCTAGCCAAGAATGGCAAGCTGGTACAATAAATCTGGAATCAGACATCTCTCCTCGTGATGCTGTTTTGTGTCAGCCATCAGAACTGTCTACAAGCAAGCAGTCTGTGTTCTCGCCTGAGACTTTACGGCCTTACCCTAAAGCTCCACCTAGAAAACTAGGAAACAGAGGTCGAAAAACCAAAAAGTCTGCTATCTACACAGATACTCCAGAAAAGGAAGCTGCTAGAAAGGAGTATGAAGAGCGACAGAAGCGGTTGAAAAATAGACAAACAAAGAAAAAAGTACTCGAGTCATCTACTGGAAAGATAATCAAAAACAAAGGGAAAGGAAAAGCGAAGAAAATGAAGATTAATACACCATCAGAATCATCATCAGAAGAAGAATATTATTGTCTTATTTGCTTAGACACCTATTCAGCGAGTCGATCTGGAGACAGTTGGATTCAGTGCCAAGGTAGCTGCAAACAATGGTCTCACGTGGCCTGTACTGATGGAAGTAGATATTATATATGCCACAACTGTGATGAGTCTGATTAAATATAGGAAAATATAATTTGTTTAAGCTCAGATTTTGTTTGATATTTTTTATTAATAAATTTGATTTTGATTTTGTTTGGTATTTTTAATTAATAAATCTGATTAAAAAATAATAAAACTGATTTTATATGTGTGATTTATGTATTATTTTTGATTGTTACAACTGTCCCCTATTCGTGTTACAACCGCCCCTGGTATGGGGTCGGTTGTAACAATCGCACACACTTATTTAAATGACATATTCCCTCCAAACTATTTTACTTGAGCTATTGGTTTTGACAATAATTTAAAGACAAATGAATATTACTTCACATCAAAGACTTTGATCGTTGCTTACAGCTATAATAGCTGTGCTATGAAGCACTAAAGGAAAATTGTTACAACCGTACCCAGTCTACCCTATGCCAAAAGTTTTTCTGTGCAACACTCTGTATTTCAAATTTACCAATCATCAATGCATTTCAATATAAAAGTCAGAGTGGGGAATATGGAGGTGAAGACAATCGAGGTAAACATATTCCGTGCAACAAAACATCGGATGAAATTAGATTAAGAGTGAAAAATCATATTGAGAGTTTCCCAGTGATGGAAAGTCACTATACAAGGAAGTCAACAAAAAGACTCTACCTAGATAAAAATCTGAATATAAAAAAGATGCATGGTCTCTTTTTAGAAGATTGCCAAAGAAATAATATGCCAAAAGTAAGCAGCATTACTTACAGACGAATCTTCTGTAAGGAATATAATTTTTCCTTTTTCAAACCAAAGAAGGATCAATGCATGACTTGCAGCGAATATGAAAAGGCCGCTCCAGAGGAGAGGACAAAGCTGGAACAAAAGTATCAGATGCATTTAGAAAGAAAGGATGCAGCTATGAAAGAAAAAGAAGCCGACAAACAGAGAGCAACTGATGAAAATGGTTTCATATCCATTTCCTGTGACATGCAAAGTGTGTTACATATTCCAACATCTGAAATTAGTTTGCTTTATTATTTACGGAAACTAAACTTATACAATTTTACAATTTATGAATCTGCTCCACCCAATGACGCATTTTGTTATTTTTGGACAGAAGTAAATGGAAAAAGGGGTAGCTGTGAAATTGGCACCTGTTTGTCACTTTATATACAATCATTAACAGAGAATAGAAAAAATGTGATGCATTTAACTATCTTCTCTGATACGTGTGGTGGCCAAAATCGGAACATTCAAGTAGCCGCTGTATTGCTTCATACTGTCCAATGCCATCCAACCCTTGATGTCATTGAACAGAAGTTTATGGAGAGTGGGCATTCCTACATGGAAGTGGATTCTATGCACAGTTCCATCGAAACCGCCAAGCACAAAATAGATATTTTTAGTGTACATGAATACGAGAATATCTTTAGAATGGCAAGAAAAAACAGAAAAGGTGATAAATCTGCTTACAAAACAAGAGAAATTGAACATAACGAATTTTTGGATTTGAAGAAACTGGCTCAGATGATGATAATAAATAAAAACAAAGACTTTGAAGGAAATACTGTTAATTGGCTAAACGTGAAATGTTTTAGGTATCAAAAACAGTTGCCCAATGTCATTCAATATAAATATAATTTTGCAGATGAGTATAAAAGTATACATGTTAATTTTAAACGAACCCTTAGCAAGAGAAATGTTAAAGAGGACGTTTCAAAAATTCTAACTATTCCTAAATTGTACACTAAGCAGTTGCCAATTTCTGAAGCAAAAAAAAGGGACTTGGTGAAACTTTGTAAAAAAAATATTGTACCTCCTGCTCTTCACTGTTGGTACGAGAGTCTACCAACTTCAACCTTAGTAAGGGACAATGCAGCCGAACCATCATCTCTTAGTGATTCAGAGGATGAAGAAATACTATAAATTAAAATATCAACATTTTAAATAATTTTATACTATCATATTTTACTTAATAAAAAATCGTTTTTTAATTTTTTTCACTAATTTTCTATGAGGTTATTTAAGTACTTTCTATAAGACCAAACTGTAAAGTACGAATAAGTCAACAATGCGATTATAAAAGTACAAGCAAAATACATTAATTTTTCAGTTTCAGGTAAAACACATTAAGTCATTGCGAGGTTAACAAAAACTAGTTTATTATAGTTCTTCCTTTATTAGATTTAATATTTTTTTTATAAAAGATTGTTCTTAAAACATGTGTGAAGATATAAGAGTGGAGATTTTATTAAAAAAACTAACGCGGATCCTTAAATTATGAATAAGATGAGTCAAATTTAAAAATGCAATAACTCAAAAGCCACTTTTTTGACTTAGTGCATTTTGCTTGTAACCCGACGAAATTAACGTTTACGAAAGAAGTAAAATATAAAATTAAAACTAGTGATGAAATTCCTGTATACTCTAAAACTTATAGATATACTTTTGTGCATAAGGAAGAAATAAGAAAGCAAATAAGTAAAATGCTAGAAGATGGAATAATACGACCATCTCAAAGTCCGTGGAGTTCCCCAATTTGGATTGTTCCAAAAAAGCTAGATGCTTCTGGAAAACTAAAATGGAGAATTGTAGTAGATTACAGAAAACTTAATGAAAAAACAATTGACGACCGCTACCCTTTATCCTCAATTCAAGATATTTTAGATAAATTAGGACGATACCAATATTTCACTACATTGGATTTAGCCTCCGGTTTTACACAAATCGAAATGGATGAAAATTCAAATCCGAAAACAGCGTTTAATGTAGAAAATGGTCATTACGAATATCTTCGGATGCCATTTGGTCTAAAAAACGCACCGGCTACGTTCCAAAGGGTAATGGATAATGGACTTAAAGATGTATTAAATGAAGATATGCTTTGTATCTTCTTCTTAGAGTGTCATATCCCTACGGAACGTCGGCGACTACCATGCATATAATATTGTTATACTGATCTCGGTCTTGCGCTACGTGTAGCAATTGGTCCGCTGTCAAACCTGTCCACTGCCGCAAATTCCTCAACCAAGAGAGTTTTTTCCGTCCTATCCATTTCTTTCCTTCGATTTTACCGTTGAGAATTAGCCGAAGGAACTCATATCTTGGTCCTCTGATTATATGTCCAAGATATTCTAGTTTACGCCTCTTAATAATATTTAATAGAGTTCGTTGATGTCCCATTATTCGAAGAACTTCTTCGTTTCTGGTTCTGCTAGTCCATGGAATTTTTAGTATCCTTCGATACAACCACATCTCAAACGCCTCGATTTTATTCATGATATCAGCGTTTAAAGTCCAAGTTTCACATCCATACAAAAGTACAGACCACACGTAACATCTTGTAAACTTTTCACGGATTTCCAAATTTAATGAGTTATTGGATAATAGAGGCTTGATTTTTTGAAACGAGTTTCTTGCCTGTTCAATTCTACATCGAATTTCGAAGAATGGATCTAGATTTTGGGTAATCCAACATCCATGGTATTTGAATCTCTGAACTCTCTGCAGCGGTTGTTGGTTTAATATCAGTTGGGTTGCGCCGATATCCGCTTTACTGGTCACCATGTATTTGGTTTTACCGATATTTATCGACAGTCCCCAATTTGTGCATTCCATGTCAACTCTATTGATTAGCCCCTGCAGATCGTCGATGTTTTCAGCTAGAATCACAGTATCGTCGGCGTACCGTATATTGTTAATTATTTCTCCTCCTATGATCCTTTTTGATATTTTCCTCGGAAGCCCTGAGGAAGACATCAGAGAGGATGTCGAAAGCTCGACCAATGGATATCGACGCGGTTCAACCCGGAAGACTGGTGAGTTTAATATTAATTTTTGTAATAGTATTAATCTTAGCTTTAGGTTTCATATATATTATTATATTTATATATTATATATATGAAATATCAATATATATAATATAATATAATAAATATAATATAATATATATATATATATATATATATATATATATATATATATATATATATATATATATATATATATATCTGTGGTGTTTGGGAGAAACATGATAACTCCAAAATAGCGAAAATTTTGTTAAGCCCTGCACTGCATTTTGTTTTTGATCTATTTTCGTTTGATCTGACTATGGTATGTCTATCGCGTCTAGAAAATGAGCCACGGCTTGGTATAATATTGATAAGTCCCTATTATTCAAATTTTGTTTGGTATAGTCCTGTTAAAATATTATATCATGTACCCGTAAACAAAACTAAACAATAACGTTTTGGTTCATATCTGATAATTGGTACTTATCATGTCTAGATCAAATAATATGCACATTCTTTTCGTAAAACATTTTGGTCCATATGTGATAATTGGTACTTATCATAGTTATATCAAATAATATGCAAATTATTTCGGTAATTTTATGCTATGTCCCACTTAACATCTTTGATTCAAATAAAAATATTTTATTTAAGTGGCATTTTCTGTAAGTTTTTTATGTAAGTGGCAAATATCAAACTTTTCTTTTCGTTGTTTTGTACTTATCATAATTATTCATGAGCATTTGGTCGTATTCACGAACGTGTCGATTGCATTGTATTAGTGTTAAGGTCTATCGATGACTAGTTAGTTACACTTAGTCAGTAAGTCAGTATTAAAGTCAGTTTGTCTAAATCTTTCGAAGGCGAATGACGCAGTAAATGCGATCGAGTAATTTGGTAAACTTGGCTTATAATACAAGTTTTCGTATTACAAAAATAATTGAGATGTGTTTAGTAGAAAATGAACAGTCGTCTTCTAATAATGTAAGTATTAAGTTTGATAGTGTAGAACTGACTGATGTTGAATCAGCTTTATAACCAGGCCCCTCTGGAAGTAAAGAAAGCAATTTGAACGTTTTAAAACCAGCACTATCTTCGCCAGTAAATCTTAAAGAAAATACTAATCTGCTGAATTTATTAGCTTCTGAAGTAACTTCTGGTGATAATTTAAGTTCTGGATCTATCACCTGAAACCATCAGATTCTGAACGTGAATATGGAAAAGCTGATTCCGAAGACCCTCAAAACGAGTTAGATGATCACTTTCCTTTGGCTCAAATAAGTATAAAAAAAAGGAAGAAAGGTCGTTCTGAAAGAAGAAAAGGTGAGGAATACATTATTGCTAAAGGTAAGAGCATTTCAGTTCAAGTTTCAATACCACAAACTTTTAAGCAAAATGTCATGAAAAGACTGCCTCTGTTGATCTAAAGCAAATTTTTAGAGACTACAGAAACTTGTTAACTATGGATACACAGAAACGTTATTTGACTAGTTTAATAACAGTAAAACCTAAAGAAAGAACACGGCGTGGTTACTCATTCAAAAATAGGTAATTTACAGTTCTTTATAAGTTGGAGAATATGGATGGTAATATCTGTAAATGTTGCTTTTTAAAAGTATTTCGCAAAACCAGAAGTTTCTTAGATGACGTTGTTAAAAAAAAGAAAGCATCTTCTACTTCTATCTAAGTTTAAGAAGCCATCTAATGACACTTGCAAAATCTGTAATTTATTGTTTCTGAAGATAAAAAGCTGTGCCTCTGAAGAAGAAAAACAAAGATTAGAAAATTAAAGCCAACAATACCAGAATAATGCTTCCTTTCATTATACAACAAAACAAGACGACAAAGAAGAAAGTATGCGGAGCTTAGACAAGCTTGTAGTAGTTGCATTTGATTTGCAGAAGTATTTCACTACACCTAATTTGACATATAGTGTGGCTTTCTATAAAAGAAAGTTATGGACTTTTAATTTGATGATCCGCAATATCACCACAAAACGGACATCGTGTTATATGTGGCATGAAATTGTATCTCAACGAGGAGCTGATGAGATCGCATCTTGCTTATTTCAGTTTATTAGAGACTTGCCAGAACAGGTAGAAAAAGTAGTCCTTTATTCTGATACATGCCCCGGTCAAAACCGAAATAATATATTATCGATTATGTTTTTAAAAGCACTTGAAGGAAAGAAAACTCTAAAAGAAATTCATCATAAGTTCCTAGTTCCTGATCATACTCATTTAGAATGTGATACAGACTATGCTACCATGGAGAGATTTGTGAAAAAAGAAACGCCACAATTTCAGTTCCACAGGACTGAACACATTACAAAAAGGATAGTTATATAGGCTTCAAATACAAATTAGATCCCAACGAACCGTTTCGTTCAATGTCCATGCTAAGAAAAGGCAGGTCAACTTCCATGTCTAATATTCAGATACTTCCAGCTTATAGTGATCCTCTACCCATAGATTATTTGAAATATAAAGATATTCTCGACTTACTATCCTTTATAGATCCAATCTATCATGGATTTTACCATTCGCTTAAACACACTCAAACCAGTACCACACAATATACAAGCGACAGTGATGAAAATTTCGACGCTTAAGTTTTAATTAGGTGCAAATAAAGCCATATACTTTCACAGCACTGTTTTCCAATACAAAGAAATTGACCAATAATAGTTTAAGTTCTTTCCTATTTGACCGTTATCTCCATTAAAATACTTTTTAAATCTCTATATTTTTGATACAAATATGATATGTGCCAATATATCAAAAACAGAAATGTTAAAACATATTTTGTTTGTTACATCTGTTTTAGCACTTAATAAAGTATTTAATGAAATATATTTGGTTTTTAATTTGGTTGCCTTCGATTTAAGAAACCTTCTGGAATGTTAAAATTGCTCTACTGAAAAACATACATTTTGGAGTTAACATATGTCTCTCAAACACCACAGATATATATATATATATATATATATATATATATATATATATATATATATATATATATACATATATATATATATATATATATATATATATATATATATATATATATACCTATGTGCGACAAGACGATATATCCGTTATTATAAAACAATAAGTGTGTTTTTGAGCCTTGTCATATTTCGTTTTTTTTTTCTTTTAAATTGTTGATAACAAGAGAACCATCAACTTTAGAGATTTGGGTTCAGAATTGTCCAAAAACACCTAAAAAGTAGATTAAAAAAAATATATGTAAACAAATTAGGTCGACTTTTATGCTGATGTGTCCTACGTAATGTATTCTTTGTGTCATTTGAAATACATTAATGTATAATTCCAAGCTAGATTTTTATGTTACGATAATTTAACATTGGGGCTGTGTTATGCAAGCTTTTTGAGATTGTTTTAGTTTTATATTCTACATATTTTTTAGAGAACCCGTTGCATCATTCAGTGGTCAGACAACCCCAACAGTATATTCTGATACAGAAGATTTGGAAATTGAAGTAGTGCGAGTACCGGGTGCTTACGATAGTAAGCTAAATAGTCTTTCTGGAAGAAGAATAGTCGATATCAGCCACTTTATAGCCGAAGTGAGATCCTTAGAGAATCATGAATGCCATGTAAAAACAACTGGATACTTGGCATTTGACAAAGAAGTAGCCATGGGTTTAAATTCACAATTGGTTTTTAAGTGTGCTGCGTGTGGAATGAAAAAATCGATTCATACCAACAGGGATAAACAGAATGTGAATCTTCTAGCGACGTGGGGTACTTTGGCTATTGGAAAAGGACATCATTCAGTAGAGGAATGTTTATCCGTGTTAGATGTTCCTCCAATGAGTTTTCACACGTTTAATAAATACCAGAAAGAACTAGGAGAGACGTGGCAGCAATGTTTAACGGATGCGATTCAAGCAGCAGGGGAGGAAGAATACCAGAAAGCATTAGAAATCCAAAACGTGACCCCAGGAGGAATTAGTCAATGTGCAGTGGTTGTTGATGGTGGATGGAGTCACCGTTCGTATGGACATAAATACACATCAAAATCCGGTATAGCATGCATTATTGGTGTGCATACAAAAAAACTACTTTTTATAGGAATTCGCAATAAGTATTGTGGTATATGTGCAATTAATGAACGAAAACAAACTATGAAACCTACTCATATATGTTACAAAAATTGGACTGGATCATCACCAGCAATGGAGGCTGATATACTTGTTGAAGGTTTTTTAAAAAGTGAAAACATGCACAACCTCAATATACAACCTTCATTGGTGATGGTGATTACAGTGTCCACTCAAAAATTCTTGAAAAGGTTCCTTATTGCCGTAAAATAAGAAAAATCGAATGTGCCAATCATTTAACAAAAGGTTTGTTCCAACTCATGCAGAAACCGTACAGTGTACGGTAACGCTTCTGCGCAATACATAAAATGCGTTCCAACTGAAAATGGACCGTTCATCGTACCGTCCCTTTGGCGTTCCAACTCAACTCGTGATCGTTCAATGTACGGTTTCGAAACCGTCATTTCAGTACGCGGGCAAAACCTATTACCGTTTGGACCACGTTTGGACTGACCTGCGCATTAAGCGGCATCAGCAAAAATTCACATTTTAGTTCGCGCCTCGCGTGGCCGTTTTATTAAGTGAGGTTAAGTGTTTCAGCTTTATTTGCAAAGAATATAAGCTATTTGTATACCTTTTTTTTGTCATAATTTTTATAATTATATATAAAAATGTCTGATGAACATGATAGTGACTTATCTGACTTTGAAAGTAGTGATGACGATTTAGAGTTACTACTATTGAGAGAACCTAAAGTAAAAAACCAAAATTATTTAGGTAAGTTAGATGGCACATTTATGAAATTGATCAAGAACATAACAGTTTTAATTTTAGATGAAATTGTGCCACAATATTCGGAAACAGTTTTCTTTGAACATTTTAGACTGTCAAAGGCAATTGTGGAAAGTATCAGCATAAGGTTTGAAACCAGTAATCATTTTAATGGAAAAATTGGAAAATATGGAAACATATCATCTTTACATCAAGTAAGTAATTAGCGTTATAGAAATTTTCACTATAAAACAAATAAATTGTAATTGAAAATGTAAATAAAATATTAACTTTTAAATTCCAAGCAGTAAAAAATAGATATCTCCTAAAAGTTTTTTAAGTTCTCACTCACTGCATTACATTTCAGTTAACTAATTATATAGTACTTAGTATTTGACAATTATCTAAAAGTATGGTTATTCCAATGTTCAAATATAGGTAATACATGTTTATAATAATGACATGAAAGTTGTAAATTGGACATATCACAAGACACTCTTAAGCTAAGAAAATGCTCTAGATATGCTAAGATAATCCTTGTACAAGGTAGTTCGTAAAGCTAGATTTATTTTAGGTTCTTATATATCTCTGGTATATAGGCCATCAAACCTCAAGTTTTAGAGATGTTGCAGATCGGTTTGACATAAGTCTGAGTTCTGTGAACAGAATAATACTTCGCCTGACGTTATTTTTAAGTAATCTGTCAGCAGAAATTATAACCTGGCCAAATGAAGCTGAAAAACAGATCACTGCGGAATATTTCAATGGAAATGGTTTTCCAAATGTAATAGGAGCAATAGATGGCTGCCATATTAAAACTGACAAGCCGGAAAATGATCCAGATTCATATATCAACCGCAAAGGATATTATTCAATTCAAGTAAGTAAATAATATTGTATTGTTACAGAATAATTTGTGGCATTTGTAGAACATGTAAATAGTGCTAATTCTATTTTAGATGCAGTGTGTCTGTGATCACAAAAAAAAGTTTCTAGATGTTTTCATTGGCTATCCAGGGTCAGTGCATGACAGCCGTGTATTTAGGAACTCCCCCCTAGGGAATCAATTACGGGAAAAGTGTGGAAAATATTTTCTTTTAGGAGATAGTGGATTTCCGTTAAAAGAAAATCTACTAACACCATATAAAGATAGAGGGCGATTGACCAGAAGACAGCAAAATTATAACATAAAGCTTTCAAAGAATCGCTATGTAATAGAGCATTGCTTTGGAATCCTGAAGCAGAAATTTCGCCAACTCTTTCACATAAAATTAAGGAGTGTCCAATTAATTGCACATTTTATAAGAGCAGCTTGTGTTTTGCATAATATTGCAATTGAAGATAGCTTCTTAAATGTAGAGTATATAGAACCTAATGAAGAGGTTAACATAGCGAATGAAATAAATCCAGAAGTAGAAGATGCTGAAGATTTAGGAGCTGTTGCTATTAGGGAGAGGGTAGCTAACTCCCTTGTAATGTGAATACATATGTATCTGTATTTTCATGTTATGTTTTTATGGGATTAGGCCACAGCTGTTGGTTGTGATGAAAATTTTTAATCCACCAATGTTTGATGTTTCGATTTCCACGACTCTGGAAATTTTTCTCAAAAGAGTTTTTATACAAATTTGAAAATAACTGTGACCAGCAACTGTGGCTTAATCCCTTAAAAACGAAACTGTCTAGATCTTTCAGTACCCACATATAGAATTTTATATCTTACTTTCATCTGTAACATCCTATCTAGATCTTAAAAAATTTAAAAATAATTTTCTCCTGATTTGTGCTTATGGATTTAATTTAAGTCTTATCAACTTTAGATGTAATACTAGAATTATTAATTATTAGACATACCTTTGTTTTCAATAAAACACTATCACACACACACACACACATATATATATATATATATATATATATATATATATATATATATATATATATTTCAGTTAAATACTTTAGTAGTGTCAATATTATCTACAAATCTCTTTTTTAGTTTAATTGTAATTTCTTGTTGATCGATATTTTAGGATAATTTTACTTGTTAATATGATGTTTCTATATGATCATGATGTTATTGAAGAATGTATTCTCCTTGTACCTACCAGTAATTTCTGATGGAATTTCATAGAATTTTTTGTTCATTGACTTAATGCATCGTTAGAAATTCCTTCAATACATTTAATTTGTGTGTTAGGACTTTTAGGTGACCATGCTTGGTGGTCTTCAGCATTGCATGACAAACATTTATACGGGGAGAGACACATGTTTATGCTGGATGTTTTCCTTGGCATTTTCTACATACTATCAATGTGATACAGTTCTGTATACTGTGGTATATATATATATATATATATATATATATATATATATATATATACATATATGGTTAGGATATTCTATTTTTGTTATATTTTTACCAAATTTGTACTAAAATACAATATGGCCCTGTCATCTGAAAATTGTAACAAATTACTATTAGTTCATTTTCTCATGTCACTACAATAGGTTATACATTGGAGAACTCTATGGAACTCTTTGTATTCAAAATAATTGGGAATATGTTCCATTCATTTTGAGTATACACCTTTGTCTTTTATGTCAAATGGAGTCGAAAGCCTTCTTGATATTCTAAAAATTCTGCCAGTCTTTAGTCCTTTGCATTTGTGCTTGGGTTACCTGCCATGATAAACATAGCAGCTCTATATATTTGACATACATTGGATTTTGAAGGAAACATTTAATTTTATGCATAAGTAGGGGACTTGTCTCTTTCAGTTAAATACTTTAGTAGTGTCAATATTATATACAAGTACAAATCTCTTTTTTAGTT